CGGTGTCCTCAGGTTTGCCCAGTAACATGTTAATTTCTTCACATCACTAAATTCCTGGGAAATTGTTTGAATGATGTCGCTTAGCTAGGCAACATACCTTTAATGATTCGGATGATATTTGTTTAGAATTAAGCAAAATCTTCCGATCGCATATGTGCTTTGCTGAAAGCAGGAGGTTTGGAGAATTTGACAGTGTAATGAAAGCAGTTCATTTGTGGAGAGACCTGAGGACGCAGTTAGCTTGAATGTGATGCTCACAATTCATATATAATGACAGTGATCAGTTTTAGATCATAGACGTATCACTCAGTAACCGTGTCATATCGATTTCACTGATTTACATGAAATGCCACAGCTCAGCTATTCTGTTTAATCCTTCGGCAAGCTCACTTTTACAGTCCGTTCAGATCACAGTATGTGCTCGAAACGATGATCTCACATCAATGTTTCTGTACTGGACAAATGTCACTCAGCGTGAAGATCACTCGAAATTGAGGCAGTGACAAATCAGTTGACGGCATCGGAATTTCAAACTTCTAGAGAAATTAACTTTGACAACTCGTAATTTATTCTCTTACTGAACATATCTGATTGTAAGCGCTAGGTTCGTTAGATTCGTTAGAACCTGATATTCCCTATTCATTAGCTTTATTCATAGTCAATCCACACCTGCACAACCCCTTCTCATCCACTCGATTCACCATTATCATTCATTTATCTTTCCAATTCATTGAAAATCCCAAAATCGTGAAAATAACTCTACACTAAGCCCGATTCTCATATCAGAAGAATCACACTGCGTTCAAAGCGAACCATCCCTGAGTGTCACGAAAAATTGCTCACAATCGACATCAACAGTTCCGACCGTTCTCGCACTAAAACCAAAGTCCATGCGAAAATCGCTTCCTCTGAATTTTTCTATGCATGAAATGAAGCAAAACTAAAAACGTAACACCAACAAAACACTAAGATTTTATTCCAGCAACATTTTATCACATTAATATCGTATCTTATATGGGCAAATGTAATCTGACGTGAACAACACTACAAATGATCCCTTTAATAAGAAAAATGCAACAGTTACTACAACATGGATGAACAGCAATAATATAGCAAAACATACAAAATAACTTCAAAAAAATTCCCAACGAAATCATCTGTGTACATAGGAATCATGAAACTGAGGTTTCGAATTTCAATGCATAAACTTCCAATAAACATTCTCACGAAACCTTCAAAGTGAAACGAATAACACTCATAATAACAAATAACAACACTATATCTGATGAAAAACACAAACTTAACCAATTACAGTCGATAAGAGGTATCGAAAGCAAAACGCAAACGTTCTCATAAGCATTTTAACAGATGAAGAGGAAATAAACTGAAGGACGATATAAAAACATTTCCATAGCAGATGAATTAACAACGAAAAAACAAAATTTCAAGCTGATATTTATGGCAGCCGACTTCACCATTCATTACATTACAGATATAAAGCCACTATAATCACAGCAAACAATAACTAATCCTAAGCATGATATAATGATGATACGGGGACGGTGTGGTACCACGATCATTTGTGCATATGCAATTGTGAAAGCAATGTGTTTATGTTGTTAATCGAATCCTGAAAATTTTATCATTCTTAGCGGCACATCTTCTCTTCTCTTCAAATCAACTTGTTAACAGCAATTACAATAATATTGATAATGCTATCATCACTGATAAAAATAACAGTTGGCATGCAATGAATCAATAACCAAATTCCAAACCGGATCATCAGCGTTATGTTCCTTCTTATACTCCAACTGTTCATGTAAAGCTTTTTCGATGATCTTTTTGTTCTCACTATCAATACTCTTCAACGACACATTATCCTCAATGTACTCCCTCAAGTACGATGCCGCATCCGAGCTCGGTGCCAGATCACCGTACATTCGAATGATACACGAAGGAAGACCATGATCCAGAGCACCTAAGAGCCATCATTATTAGTATTATTAGTAAGTTATTACCACAATTACTTTCAGCACTATTCAACGATTACTACTACGATCACTATTATTGAACATTACTATCATTCTCAGGAAATTTCCATTACATTATAATGGATATTACTTTGAGATTGTAGCTCAGTAATGTAAAAATGATTCTTTGAAAATTTGTTATTGTCATTATGACTGTGATTGCTATCATTATATTGTTATCGCTATTTCCAGTACTGGACTCAATGTAATCATCAATGTGATCATTATTACCGAATACCAACCTTGATATCCCAGATCGTGTGCCAGATTCGCAAATACAATTGCCGTCTTGTTGGCCACCTTTTCATCTCCGCTATGATGTGCAAACTTGAAAGCATCCATCAACACGACGAAACCATTCAATTGACGGAATCGACTCAAAAAATATTTCAGATACAGTAAACTTAGTAGGAAATTTTCAAAATTCATAAAAGATTTCAACGGTAATGTTCCGAAATGAATTCTAACTTGAATTGAACCGAAGTTCTCGACATCCAATAGATTCATTACTATTATTCTACGAGTATTCATACACTACGGCAATCACACAGACATCAGGAGAAGAATATTTTCAACCAATTCAAAAAAAATTTTGGAACTTACTTGTATGTTCCCTCATGTGCCCTTACCACAGACGATACTCCGCTTAAAGCTTTCACTCGAACGTCCTGTAATAAATCGACATCCAATAAATTCATTACAAGTCCATTGCTCAGTCAAGTTCCAAAATGTTCAGTAATATGATGAAGTCGAGAGAAACAACAAAAGAATTCAATGAACTAACCGAAGACTCTTCTGTTGACACGATCAGCGACAAGAGGGCAGCGATCACTTCCTGATCCAGCATAATGTCTTGAACTTTTGGGTTGTGTTGGGCCAGTGTTGGGATCAATCGCATCACTTCGCAACGTGCTTCGTCGCATTTACAATTCTATAATAATCAAATTAATCTTTAAATTACACTTGTTAGCAATACGTTTATCACTGAATATCACCACTGTTCTCATAATGAATGATCATTCATACTACTAACCATCAATCGCAGAATCTCTCCTAATCCTCCCAATTTACAGAAATCCACTGCCGCATCCACCTGACAAACGATATCCTCCAGAGAATCGACAACGGCTTTTAGCCTTTCAGTATCCTCATGCTTTTTTGGTTCCTCTGTTTGCCGCAGATCATCGATGAGCTTCTTCATTTGGCGTACCGGATCCGTCTTTTGGACCAGATCCGACATAGCACTCTCGATGAATTTCCTTTTCTGAAGCAACAATAATCATAGACATACAACACAAGTATTAAATAGATAACATGAATGAAGGTTACGATTTCAACTGATTTCCATTCCAATGTAACAAATGCAACATATGCGTATTCACTGCATAAATTAAATGGTTAGCAAACAGTGGCTGCAGTTCCGTTAACCCTAATATCTGCATTAGTTTCTGATCAGTAATTTTGTCATCTTCTTAGTGGTATAAGACTGGTTTGAAGAGTTCAAACTTCAAATAATCTCTTCCACATTTAAAGGTGAAATGTGGAAGAGATTAGTTGAAAGCAGATAACATATAAAAGAAGAAAGTATAATGTTAAGGTTGATGGTGACACAGTCTCCAGAAATAATAAGAACTTCAACGAGATTCAACACTCGAGACGGGGGAATTCTTAACAAAGCGATAGAAACTTCATCAGAAGATTGAGAATACAGTACGATTACCATTACCTCTTCGGGCATTTTTTGCGGTGGACCATGTGAATCACCAGCGGCCGTTTGAGCCGCAACCAGCAGTTCCTTCCAAGCTGCATCCGGGATTCGACTCGGGTCTCCCATGCTTTGCGATAGTCAACGAATGTGGAACAAACTACTCTCAGAGGCAACTGAAAATGCCCATTTAAAACAACAATCATCGTGAAATTTTGATGCTCACTCTCACGAGAAATTGAACAATAGTAACGATTGAAAACACAAAGCATTCCGCATTTCGAATTCTTTGAATGTACTGAATCAAGGAAATTGAGACATCTTGTAGGGAAAGCAATTCCCACAATGAAGAAATGAACGCATTTCAGTTGAAATATCGTTGCTGTAAATAAACGCGGATTTATATACTTAATAGAATTCACTGGATATTTCCAGAACAATTACACTCGGAGGAATTCATGACGACATTTAGAGTTTTTCTCGAACACACTGCAATGTCATAACCAATACCATAACCAAACTGAGTGCTGAGTCATCGATGAACATCACCTAATAACTCTAACTGCTAACATAAGAAAATTCGAAGAAATGACGACAAATTCATGACTAATCCAAAAATATTTTCAAATCTATTTTCAAATATTTTCAGTAAGTAATATCGTCGTCTTGTTTTAACATTATCTCATTGTGCCAATTGATCATTGCCCTCAGAGACCAATTGAGATGTTACTACGGCACGACGAAATGAAGAGTGGATGAGCGCTTTGGAGAGGTACAGAATGAGATGAAATCAGGAGTGTGAGCGAAGTGAATGAGAAAATTTTCACGACATAACTGAGCAAACATACAGTTGCGTAGAAAAGCTTTGAGAGCAAGGAAACATCATGCGAAACCATCGAATATCATGACGAGAGAACATGCAAAACGAGTTGATTGCATGTGACATGGTTGTCATTTTTTGTACATTCATCTTTCTATGTTAAGCTTATCACTCATATTCTCTCGTCAGCTAGCATGTCTATTTGACATTGTATTTGCCTACTCTCATATCTTTCCTTCACAACTGCACACTCCCATGACGGTGTCGTAAAAAATTTCTCAATCACTCCAGCCATACTTCTGAAATCCTCTCATTCCATCAATCAGCACAAACCACGTGCTCTATTCACTTGCTTGAGCCGAACATATCAATTCATTCGAAATGAACACTCCAAACAGATTTGGCAGACCGCGACAAAGTTACCTTATGCCAGGGATTTCTATCTCATCAATGTGGATTTCATTCTAAAGTTATGACATTGTGGATTTCACTTAAAAGCTTACGTTATTCGGGAAATGTTTGGTAGTTTGTTTTGATTTTTGCAGATTTGTTCAGTACATTGTTAATGTAAGCAGTAGACAGTGTACCGTGAAGACTTCTCATTGAAATGTTGTAAATTTACTGGGATGTGATGTTTTTGTTCTCTTAACTTTGGATTTGGTTCGGAATTTTTCCAGTTTTGTGAAAATCTTCTGTAACATCGATATGTTTATTCAGTAGAATCTTTATGTTTATTCAATTCAATTCGTTGTTTCCATTGAATTGTGCCTTTCATCGATGGAATCGTCT